TATGAGGAGCGGCTGAGGGAACTGGGACTGTTTAGCCTGGAGAAGAGGAGGCTGAGGGGAGACCTCATCGCACTCTACAACTACCTGAAAGGAGGTTGTAGCAAGGTGGGTGTTGGTCTCTTCTCCCAAGTAACAAGCGACAGGACGAGAGGAAATGGCCTCAAGTTGCGCCAGGGGAGGTTTAGACTGGACATTAGGAAAAATTTCTTCACCGAAAGGGTTGTCAGGCCTTGGAACAGGCTGCCCAGGGAAGTGGTGGAGTCACCATCCCTGGAGGTATTTGAAAGACACGTGGATGAGGCGCTTAGGGACATGGTTTAGTGGGCATGGTGGTGTTGGGTTGACGGTTGGACTCGATGATCTTAGAGGTCTTTTCCAACCTTAATGATTCTATGATTCATTCCTATCCTCTTCTGCTCCCTTTCTCTTACACAAATGTGGATGAGACTCCACGATGTACCTGGGAAGCCGAGCTAAGAGTGTAGCTCTACAGCAGCCTTAGCCACAGACACTGCTGCTGTCTTACTTTCCTTTCTACCCTGGCTGTGGTTTCTCATCCCCTGTCTTGCCCCACTTCCACAGTCATTGGAGCCTTTGCTGAGCCATCTACAAGGAAATCTAGCCTAGCAAATCAGTGAGTAGTTTTCTGTATGGTTAGTTGTCTGAGCCAATTCGGAAAAGGGTCAAATTAAATGCTCTAACAGATTCAAGGGAGGAAGTAGAAGAAGGTTAGGAGGACATTAATTAGTGGATAGATTGTCTTGGGCCACTGTAGGACAACTGTCAAAGTTAAAACTTTTTTTTCCCAGTTCAGTCTTAAAACAGGTCAGTTACCCATTATCATACACCAACTGGCTGTAGGATCAGCTTGTGCTGTCACAGTTGAAGGGGTGAGACTGCCTCTTTGGGCATTAATGCTGACTTAAACTGGCTTACAGTGACTGTGGCAGAATGGCATAAGACATCCTAAAACATTGTTTCTGTATAGCAAGATTTAAAGCACAGTGTATCTTTGCGAAAATAGAAGCTGAAGCAATAGCATGTTTTAATGTCGCCTCATCCCTGGGCCCTGCATAGATTGGTTGTTCTTCCAGCCACACAGCACTTCTGAAGATGCTGTCTTAGTGATGCACATCTGTAGTTCTGTTGTGATGCACTCCAGCCCTGCTTTGTTTTGTCACACGGAAAAGAAACAGTTTTTAAAAATCAGAAAGTAGTGTAGAAGTGAAAATGCAAGTCACTAATCTGATCTCAGTGTCCTGATTTTGACAATGGAATAGCTTTGATTAGTGCCAGATATTTAGCAAGCTGTGTCATGTTGTTGAGAACTATATCCCATCTGTATTCTCCCTGCTATTAATAGCCACAGAAAATCTCTGTTTGAAGGCCGTGCAGGCCGTTGCTCAAGGCAGGTTTTAGGTGTGCATCTGCCTGGCAAACAACGTGGGATGACAACTACTAAAAAAGGACTTCATATCTGTGAAGTCTGGGGGAAATTTTTGCATGTCAAAAATTATGGGGAGAAATAAAATATATGTGAAACAATGGAAGTAAAATAGCAGGTAATAGTTTGGGTTTTTTCTGCCTTCCAGATTTGGCACCTGCAAATTCCAGATATCTTTGTGGACAGTGTTGCTGGTAATGGCCAGGTGATGGGCAAAATTCTGGACCAGAGAACCCAAAGACAAGGCAAGGTTTGGAAATGTTAGTGGAGTGTGGGAAGGCAGTGATAAATAGTGTAGTTTCTAGGTGCAAACAAAAAAGGAATGTGACAATTGGTGAATTGTAATAGAAATAGAAGAAGAGGTTTTGAGGCCAAGTCGAGAAGAAAGATGTTTCTGGGGAAGAGCAGAAGTTGAAAATTATGTTGTTTTGTGATGGAAGTACTGAGTAAAATGATCTGTACAGTTAGAGAGCACGGCATTTATCTGATGCTCTGCCTCTGCTTATCTGTTGACTAAAGTGCATCTCTTGAAGCTGGCAAAAGATAAAACATCTCCAGTTCTTCAGATCAGGAAATTTCTACTGGAAGAGGTCTGGGACTTCAGTGACAGCTGTTGTTGTAGGTCTCAGATTCAAAGCCACAAGGATTCTGGCACTGTGTGGGATGGTGCTTCTCCAACATCAGTCTTGAAAACATACTGAACGTTCTCATCAGAAACCCCCCTGATTGTATTTTTTGCCTCGAAGTTCCCATCCACTCTCCATTTGAACTCTGTTTTTGGTTGGGGCTTTATATATATATATTTGTTGCACTTCATTTTTCTGTCAAGCACAAATAAAGTTTTTGTTTCCCACTTGATAAAAATACTCTTTCCTGCATTCTGATAGACTTCAAACTTGCTAAAATATGCCAAAGACTGTCTTGAAGACTTAATGCTCAGAGATCAGCAACGTGTGTGCAAAATGTAGCTTACTGCATCTACAATTCCAGTAGAGCAGAAACCCTAGGACAGGAAAAATACTCACAGTTCTGTTGATGTATCTTACATCTCAATGAAAGTTTTCTAAAAGCTGAATCCTCTGGGATCCACCAAGCCAAATGAAAATTTTAGGCATACAATTCAAATTATAGGATGTATATATGCTATTTAAGAGTCCTTCAGCATAAACATACTGTATGTTTCAATGCTTTCATCCATATTGGGAACTAGTAGTTGACTTCGCATTCTGCTACTGATAATTAGCATTGTTCTCCACTTCTTAAACTTTCCATTGTGGTCCTTGCTGTCCTTACAATCACAGCTTTGTGCAACATAATGCTCATTTTGTTCACGCTGAACTAGCAAAGTCCTGAATTTCCTGTATTTGCAGGAGACCTGTAAAAACATACAAGGAAACAACAGTATAAAAAGAATTTATCATCTTCATAATATGGTATTTTCTTGAGCAGACTCTTCTAAGACATAGAATGTCCATGCTGTGGCTGAAGGAATAACATATCCCAGATACCTGTAAATTTAGTTTGCCTGTGTTGTTGGTGACTATGTAGCCACAGAAGCACAGGGCTAAATGCAGTCTGTGAAATCTGCCTGGGACCTTGTCAGGACTCTATGTGGATTGCACTCCCTGCTGCTGTGGCAACACTGTCACTAGATCACCCAGCTAGTAGGTGTCCCAGCTAATCTAAAGCTAGCTCAAGCAACTGCAAGCCATGGTGTTGGCTGTGTGATAAACATGCCAGTAGAAACAAAACACAATATGGAAACCATGTAGCAGATGATGTGTTTTGTATTTCGGTAATACGCATGCTTGCTTGTGTTATGTATGCTTTCATTATAGGTTTTATTAACTTTAATCTTAGCAAATACACTTTCAACACAAGCACCTTTCATAGTCAATGAAGATATGCTTTGATACTCAGATACATAAGATCTTCTAAATTCCAGATTTATATTGTATTCATGAAGAGGAATTGCAAAGTTCTTTTTCCCCCTTGAGAGCAAAATTTGATGTTAGTCCTTAGAGATCCTCATTGTTCTTACATAGTTCTAATTCAGATTGAGATTCTCTTTGAATGTCATATTGCAATTGCTAGGTATCAACTTAAAGGATTTAAGTGATGACATCCTTTTTAATTTTTTGTTTTAAGTGAGCAACCTCAGTTATGCTATACATCAGGGCAATGTTATTTGTCAATACAAGAACTTGACTGTAATAGCTTTGTTTTAAAAATGAACTGCATCTCATGCCCAGATAAAACCGGGTTAGGTAAGAAACTTTCATCTTTTTAAGGAGTGTAATTTTACCAGATTTCAGTTGCTACTTTTCAATAATGTTGAATTCTGTTGTCTTCAATCTTACAAACAAATCTGTAAGGCTTCAAAATTAAATGGCAGCAGGGTGTTCAGTTTTGTGGTAAGTATCTGCATCAGTAATAATTGAAAGAGAGACTGATGATTCCCACCCCCCCAGTCTAGTCAGATCTCTTGTGTTGAATTGTAGGTATTACAGTGGCTTGCTTTGGAAAGCTTTGTTTTAATGGGCTGTTAGGACAGCATCTATTCAGCAGCTGGCTGGTTAGATGCAGGACTCAGTAACTTAGGAAACACTACTGAGCCTTTTTCTTTCTAATTTTTCTCATAGGCATAATAAAGCAGTGAAGAGAAACTGAAGGAAGGAAGGATTACATGTCTTATTGACAAGAAAACTGTTTCTGAATTATTTGAACAAACTACGTATATATGTAGTAAAATCTAAAAAGGTAGGATATCTTCCTTTTCGGTTTTATTTAGAAAACCTCGTATCTAATGAAGAACTCTTTCATGATTCTCAGTGGGGTTACGAAAGTAATTTTGCATGTTAAGGAGGAATGCGAAACATTTTCTTTTAATTGAGTTCTGTGGAGCCTTACCAAATTCTACTAGGCTTTTCATGATAGAATTTTGATGAAGACAGATTGCCTGTTAGTTCTTCAAAAAACTTCCAAATCCATTTAAAGAGTACTCAGTTTTATAAAGTAGACCTTGTAGGAGAAGACGGTAGCTCCTCATGATTTCAGGGTTAGCTGCCCTTCTGGCTCCTGAATATTAAGTATTTCTCTAGGCATGTGGAGATTTCATGCTCTTCTCTCTGGAACGTAGAATGGAAGTCTACAATGAGTAGAGAATCTTAGCCTTTTTTTTTCAGTATGAAAGCAACACATTAAATGATGTGCAGTTCATAAATACAAAATCTGCTGTCTGAAAGTACCACAGCTATTGTCTGTAAGGACACTGTTTTGTAAGCTTGATAGGCATTATATAAAAGGCATTAAAATGGAAAGCAAACATTTGCATTTGAACTTCTATGGTGTTTCTCCTTCAGGTAGAATTCAAGTAAATAGAAATTATATGTTTCACAGTGGCTGCTAGAACTATGTTCAGTAACAGAGTTCAGAACAAGTGCGGCTCACATATCTGCTCAAGTCTTTGCTTCTAGAATTCAGAGAATCTTGATATAAAATTGGGCTTCTGACATCTAGCAGTACAATCCTCAAATTCTTAAAGTCTCCAAATTATGTAAGTGTTTGCATTCTCACCTGTGAAGTTCTGTATTCATGTTAAGTTCTCCATATTTCTAGAATTGCTTCCAGGCCTTTTTGTGGATCTAGCCATATGGATTCAGGACAAAGACTGCTTTATTTCTCTATGTTGTTTTAATAGGTTGAAACTGTGTGGAGAGCATGGGTTATGATATTGAGCGTTTCGTTGGCTACGTTAATGAAGGGCTATTATGCTCCATCTGCCGTGATGTGTTAGAAGATCCATTACAGGCTCCTTGTGAACACGCTTTCTGTACTGCTTGTATACATGGATGGCTTGTTCATCACAGTAACTGCCCTGAAGACAGACAAATGATTGATGTATCTGTGCTACGACCTCTCTACAGGTATATAATAATCTTGCTGCATGTTGAAATTATATGTATTTAATATTTCTTACTTTTGCTTGCACAGCTTCATCTCTTGTCATTTTCTGTCACTCAAATTATCTCTACTCAATATGTTTATGGTGGAAACTGATCACTTGCATGAAAGCATTAGCATTTTCTATTTATTATAACTAACTTTTGAGGTATTAACATTTCAAAATGGAAATAACACTTAGTTTGTTCTCCATCTCCAGATATCTGTCTGGGTATTATTCTGAATGTCTTCTACAGCACCAAAACTTTCCCATACTTTTTTAGAGAAAGCAGGCAAAGCAACTCTTGACAACAGCAGTCACTAAACACTATTATCTTCTGGCTTTCTTTTCAGTCTTGCTAGATACTGTAGCGGGGTTTGCAATGAATAATTCCTGTAGATATGAACCAAACTTCTCACCTTCAAATTCTTTTTTAAAAAGGTCTTTAACCATTACAATATCCGTCTTGAGCCACCTTGTTGTGTAAAGCAGGCTGTTTTCACAAGTGTCTTCCATAATTGGTCAGGCAGTTGGACTGGATGATCGTTGTAGGACCTTTCCAACTGAACTTTCTATTCTATTCTATTCTATTCTA